GGGGGCCATGGCTGAGGTGAACGTGGGCAGGGCCGTGGCGGCCTGTGAAGGAGCAGGGGCCGGGAGCCCGAGCTCCTGTGCCAGTGAGTGCAGCGGGCGGGGAGGTGGGCGAGCGTCTCAATCAGACGGGAGGGATGGAGGGAGGGATGCTCCACGCGCAGGGCCTTGGCCAGTGCCCGTCTGTGCTGGGGTAGCAGGGGGCTCTGCAGGAGGGCTCTCTAGCCTCAGCCTTATTCCCATGGGGTTACTAATTTTTCTCTCTCTTTTTTTTTCTTTTTTTTTAAAGTTAGTGGTTTAGTTTAGTCTACCTTACAAGCCAGGTAAGTAGTATTTTGTATGTAATTTTGCAGGTGTTAAAAGATAAGCTAATGGGAAGCTTTGCTGAACTGTCATTAAGCAGTTACGTAACCCTGAAACCCTGCCTGGCTGTTCGGGTGACAGGAAAGTGCTGCCTTTCAGATTCCATCCTCACTGGGGGTGATAATTGTAGCAGTTGTTGGTTGTCTCTTCTACTGAGGTCCAGGTGTTACCTGTCCCCCCTATACTGTTTCATCTTCCAGTTGTTGTGTATAGGTTAACACATTTTCCTTAATAAGTGTTTTTGTTTTGGACATGAACTTGATTAAAATCTTCATGGTGTAGATCTTAGGTAATTTCTGTTTCTCCTTAATTAATTTGCATGAGCTGTCCTGCTTTTTCCCCTATTCAGCACGTTTGAGACAGATGAGTGTGTGTTGCCCAGGCATGTCCCAGTAAACTGTGCTTATAGAATTAAACCTTAATATAAGCAGTAATTCATAGAGTAGCTCCTGAAGAGAAATGGATCAGATACAGGTGTGACTTAGAGGAGAGGTGAATAGAGGAGGTGAAATTTCCTTCTTTAATCCTATTAGCAAGAATTGGTCCCCATAAATGGGTGAGGTAGATCTGAGGAGGTGCTCATCCATCTCCAGGGAGAACAGAGGCAGAGGTGTTAGGGATCCCATTCTCAAGGTGATTACCCACAATTGTCGGTGATCCAACACCCATTTATTTGGCTTCTAGAGTAAAATCTCCTGGTAAATGTAAATGTTTGCAGAGTAGCTAGTGACATCCTTAGAGCTTCAGCACTGCAAGTTCCCTTCCAGTGCACACAGCATAAGCAATCCCCATGTCTTCAACGATTGCCATCCACTGCTGGAAAAGGTGGCCCTAACTTCAGTGCCCAGTAGAAATACTTGAGATATATACATATATATACACACACATACACACAATGTTACGAAATACTTATACCCGTTTATATAATGTATATATTCATGTATGTGAAATACTTATAAATATTTATATATATAAAGTGTGTGTGTGTGTGTCTGACTTCAGCAAATTCTTACTAGAGGTTTTTTAAGATTATCTTAACATTTCAGTAATTGATGTTGGGCAGGAAGGGTGGTGGTGTAAAGGTTTTGCCCTGAAGTGTTGGTGGAGTTGAGTAAGTGCAAGAGCAGAAGGAATGATTCCTTTCCTTTTTGTGTACCAAAGAGTACAAAAATCCTTTCATTAGAGTTGAGAGTATCACCTTTATTATATTTTCTGTTCATCGGGCCTTTTCTTGTAATCATTCAATACTCTGGAATTCTGCTATGTCTTTGCTTTTTATGAGGCAGCTTCCTTTAAGATTTCTTTTAATTTAGTATTCCTGAGAAACCACAGGGGATTTTCAAAGTTGCAGTGTCAGTTTAAGTCTGTTCTACATTTAATCAAATATCCAAAATGAGAAACATCTCTCCTTACACTCCTTTGTAATTAAGTGTGTATTAAATATGGCCTCCACATGCCAACAGCCCCACCAGAGGATTGCTTGGTGGTGCAGTTGGATATTCCCCAGTGTCTGACTGTCATTTAGATTTTCAGTTTGTTTTATTTTTAAAAGTAGGGTAATGTGCTAAATAACTGAAAATCAAGTTCCCTTGTCCTCATGTCTTAGAGTTCAAAACAACCGAGTCAACCCCGTCAAAACAACCCGTGTCCTAGTTGTTGGGCTGGGATCCGAGGCTGTTATAGCTCAAGTGTATCCTGGGGAGCCACAGACACGAGAGAAACCAGTTACCAGTTTCTGAAGTGACACCGTGTCACATACTGCTCTTTTTGGGTGTTCTTAGGCTTTACGTGAAGGAGTGTTTGTACAAACATCTTCCCTTAATCTGCCTCCAGTTGAGGCGCTAACCCCAGCTGCAGAGCTGTGCCCTTGGGTGCCGTTAATCCCGGGCGGCAGAGCAGGAGCAGGGAGGGCTCCTCAGGCCTGGTACTTTGCCATAGCTGAGCTAGATATCAAAACACTAGGATTTACTCTTTTTTTTTCTGTTTTGTTTTGCCTTCAGGAAGTACTTCTGAAACCCGTTTAATCTGCATTTGGTGATAATTTAATGTGATTTGAATTCTCATGCTTCCCCATTTAGACTTGTTGCAGTATCTCTTTAGAGACACTCAAAAGTTCACCAACCTGTTGTGTTCCTACCTCAAGACTTCTTATGCATGACAGTGTTGCTTTAAAACGTGGCTGTGGTCTGATGCTTTACTGTGCCCCTTCTGATGACAACTCCTCGACTAAAATCCGCGTTCTTTTTGTTAATGCTCTGAAATTAAACAGAGGCAATTAAAAATGGTGATGCAAACTCTGCTTCCTAAGTGTACTTGAAAAGAAAAGTGGCTCCTCTCTATTGATTAATTGTTCCTTTTGTGGTAAATTTCTGCCTCACAATTCCAGTAAAAGCTACCTGGGGTGTTGCGGATCCACAGTCTACAGTCAGCGCCTGGGTTTGGGTCCTCCGCACTGGCACGTAAAGGTTTGCTGATCTTTTAGATAAATGCACATACACGCACAAGAACAAACCAAAAACTTTACAAAAGTGTCTACAACCAACTAACAACTGCAGGAGAGATGCTCGTGTTTATGTGACCTTCCCAAGGGTTTGTACTGTCTTGGGAAGGCTGCTCAGAGCACAGACTGCAGCTTCTTTGCCCTTAAAGAAGGGAATTACACTCCTTTGGGCGGTCTGTCTGATTTTGAGGGCCAGAGGCAACACTTTGATACGCTCGTGGAAGGCTGGGCTTTGGAAATAGTTAGAAAGCATTCTGGAAGATGTTTTCTGTTTGAATGTTAGCAAACATTCTGTTTTACATACAGAGTACACATTTAGATAATTTGAAGAAAAAGCCAACTTAAAGTCCCCATTTTGGAGGACATTCTGCTGAGCTCTAGAAGATATTCAGCTCTCTCCCTGTCCTGTGCTCTGCCTTCATCTGATTCCATATCTGACCAGTAGCAGTCTCGCCACATGTGTATTACGGCATCCTGTTATCTAAATAATCTAGATCTAGATTCAATGTGTTAGGAAGAAGAAATTTGTGTGAAATCTTAACCCCTTCTACATTAACTACACAGAAACATTTAGCAGTGATGCACCTTCTAGCATTCGCACTAAAACAGAGTAAGAAAAGCCAAAGCTGAAGGAGGGAGCCCATCACATGTTGGAATAGCAGAGAAAGGGAAAGATTTGTAGGCACATGGAGACTTGTAGCTGGAGAATATTTTGTTTTTCTTAGTTCCATTTTGAATTGTCTTCTGTTCTTTTCCATCAGCAAGCTTTACTTTCCCACATTAATTCTCAGCTTTGCTTTCACATTTTTTCCTTCTTGGTGTTGGTTTATATTAGGTTAAATGATTACACGTCCAGCTTTATTAATGGGTACGTGCTGGAGGTTTTCAGACTCTTGTTCTGAAAATGCAAGGACGAAGAATTATCAGCCTTGTCCTGCTCTGTGATGGAAATGCATTGCTCCCAGTAAAGCTCCATGTTCTAATGCTTTGCCAGCAGTTCTGGTAAAACCATATTTAGACTCAATTCCATGAACCTTTAGGCGCTTGGAGTGCTGTTAAAGCTGGGAAGGCTTCGTGTCACACTAAAGAGTTTCTGTAATGATTCATCCCAGTTTGTGTTGGGATAGGTTTAAAACAAAGTAATTTGGTTGTTGAAACACTGAATTACCATAAAATCGATTCCTAAAGGTCAGAGGCAAAGCCTGTTACTCTCTCTGCTTCTTTGTTTTACGTTTATATGGGTTTTTTTTCTAGATTAATGCACTGTACTGTTTTTTACACTTCTAAACATGAAGCTAAGCTTTGCTAAGAAAAAGAAATTACTATCTAGATAAATTCATTTTTAGTTGAATAATATCTAGTGTTTTATTTAATTTGTATGTATATGACGCTTTACATTGTTGCTCCCTTGCCATATTGCTAGTTCACATGTCCATAGGTGAAGGAGTTCAGGAGGTTGCGGTTCCTGCAGATTCCTGCCAAATTATACTGAAATTCAGTAGCCCGTTAGTTTTCCTAGTGTAGACTTAGGCCATTGCACTAACAGTAATTCCTAAAGTGCGTGTTTATTTCCTGAGTCTAAGAGGTTTTTTTCCTTGCTGTGATGTTTCTTGTTCCAAAGGGCTGAAATTACAGCATTTGTGGGCTGGGCAAAAAGGAACTTAATAAGAATATGAAACTCTGTTCTCTGCTTCTCATTTGAATTTCAGGTTGCAGAGAAAAAAGGTGCCTGCGTTTACTTACTTGGCTCCAAAAAGAAATCTGGTTTTCAGGAAATAAATCTGAGATTCTTGCACGTATCTCTTGCTTTGTAAAAGCTGTGCAGAATTTGTAGGTACCAAGCTTAGGCTGGGACTACTTGGGTAGAGAAGTTAAGCTGCTGTATTGTGTCCTGGAATGTCTCTGGCTCTCCAAAATGCTGGGTAACTTTTCCATGCTCCTTCACACACAGTTCTTGCACAGTGTCTCAGGCTGCCTGTTGAAATCCCAGGATATGTAAAGGAACTTCTCTTGGTTGATGAATAGCAGTAAGAGTTCTACAAACATGATTATAGATTTGATTTGATTATTAAACATTTGATTATTAAACATTTGATTATAGAGCAATTCACAGTAAGGAATTTATCTTCCTTTGTTTTAGATTATTGGTTGCCGAATCAGAAGGGAGCCATTGGAATCTACTGAACGCTACACGCGTTGGATCAATAACCTCAGCAAACCCCAGCTGCTTACACAGGTATTCCTTTTTCAGCTGCAGTTGAAATTGTGGCAGCAAGTTGCACTTCTCATGAACAGCGACTGACTATTTACCAAGGTTTTCAGATAGTTTGTAAAGCTTGGTCGTATATAACGATGACCTCGCCCAAGAGAGCTAGAAGCTTTTGAATTTAGCCTCCTAGTGAGCCTTATATTTGCTGGTGCTGTCTTTGGTTAAATGCATGCACTTTCATGTTCTAATAATTAGACTGGGATCTTCTTTTAAAAGGTGTATTTAAGTACACAAGAAAAATATAGTCTTTTTTGTAAAGAAAATTTCTTTCCATAAGGTTAGGCACTGATTGCTTCTGTATCTGGTTAAGTCTTGCGAGAAATCATTTAAAAATAGTTCTTCAAGGATTAAACATTGGGCCCATTATTCATGTTTTTAAGTAAGATGCATCTTGTGCAACTGGAGATGACAGTTTTGGCACAAGAAAAGGTTGTTTCGTTAGGCAGGCAGCCAGCGCTGAACTGAAAGAGAGACTTTGGCAAAAACAAGTTAAACTGTGGTAGAAATCAGCCCAGCTTGTGGAAGAATGTGTGGGCTAACTGAGAGTTATAGGAAGTCTAATGCAGGGTTAACAGAACGAGCCCAGCTTGCATTAAGATGCAAGTACTTGGGGTTGGTTTTTGTAGTGCTCTGGTAGGAAGACATTTGCTTTTGATTTTTATAGATTTAAGTGGTTGAAAAGATTAACATACTCTTGGGTTTTTTTGGAGTTTATTATAAATTGTGTTGTGTTCCTCATTACCGTAGCCCCAAAGTTGCACTTAGAGATGCTGGTATGGTAAGTGTAACATAAAAAGTAAAAATCTTCTCTTAAAATCAGCAGCGGTGCTATGGTTTCCTGTGATTTACCAAGTGAAAGTAGTTACAGAAAAACAGTTACCCAAGAAATATTTGGATTTGCCTTTCAGTTTGGCATTAGCCAAGTTTTATAGGTTGAAAATAGTGAATTTGGCTGACGACGCCATCTGGACACCAGTACTACAATCTCCCTGTGTTGCTGAAGGAAAAGAGCTGCAAGTGTAAAACCTTGTCCCACACTTTGTGACGTGCTTCATTTACCTTCAGGGGGCTGCTGGATGCTGCCTTTAATGAACTAAGGTGGAAATTAAAAAAAATACCCTAACACTGGGATTATTTGAGGCCTGGTGAGGGAGGAGGTGGATACAAAAAAGAGAACTGCACATTAAGGATGAAACTGCACGTTTTCTGGAAGAGATTATGTTATAATGCTTCTGGTAGATGCCGTGACCTGGGAATTTTCATGCATTTCCATGTAAATATCTCTGAAAAGCCTTAATCAAGCAGCATGTGCAATCCATTATTTTAACACATGATTTAGTTTCATGCCTTTTACAGCTATATGAAAAATGTTGGAAAATATATTGTGATAGGAACTAAAAGACAGCATGGTGGAACTTCTGCTTCTCTGGGGATTGTTTTCTTAACAAGATGAGCTTTGCAATCATGCAAAGATGCAATCGTGCTATCTGTGGTACTAATTAGCTTTTGAACTTACTACCCATTCTCCACCAAATTCAACACAGGCACAAAAACTCCTCAAAGACAGTTTCCTGAAACTTTGCTGTACGTGTGAAGCTAGGTAGAAAAGAGAGACCCTTCCATTCCAGTTGCAGCTCGGATGGCCTCAGGCACTGTAGGATCCACTTGGACACACATCTTAGGTGCCCAGTCGTAAGAAAAGCTCTGGCTGGAGCTCATGGTCCACAGAGACACACAGGCCTTTAGGAAGCTTGGCTTTCTAATCCTGGTGCTTAAAAAAAAAAAAACTGCTTAATTTTTGGGGCACTATATGTTGGGATATGTCCCTTCTGCCTCGATATCCATATTTCTCATCATGAATTCAGATTTCTCATCATTATCTCAGTAAAGAGGTAGTTTATTTATTTACTTGGTTTTGAGTTACCTAAGTACAGGTAGGAGAGGGAGTTGGGAGCAGAAGCTGACCCAGGAGCTGGTGCTGATGAGGCCGCGAGTCCGTGACGCCGCCCTGGGCTCCTCTTCTCCCTCGGTACGCGCCCTCCTTCTTCCCAGCAACGTCTGCTCCTGCTTTTCAACAACAAGCCTAGGAAAATGACAGCTCCAGAGAGGAGCTGCTGCTGCCGAATCTGCAGGATCTTTGGGAGAAGCAGTTGTTCAGGAAGTGTGGGAAGATGGGCTGGAATTCACAGCATGTGTCTCCAGCTCCATTCTTTCCTATAGTGAAAGAATGATCAGCTTCTTTTCATACGGTTCAGAGGTTATTGCCTCGCTTTTCTTCCACGTCTGCTGCCTTCCTGGATCAGCCACATGCAAATTAGTTGTGCCATAATTAGGAAAACTAAGGCACTGATTGGAAAAAGATAGTCAATTGTCTAGAACATGCAATCTCCTGTGATAATATTTATGATTTAAAACAAGTAATTTCTGAGATTGTTTGTTTGCTTTGCTAGGCAGTGACCACAATGCAGTTTGAAAGGGTGGGCGGCTGCAGGTGTTGCTAAGTGCTTGGAAGCCTGGGTGGGTGGCACGTGGGCCGCTCGCCCGGTGGGCTGCAGGGCTGGGCGCCCGTCCCCTCCTCGCGCCGAGAGCATCGCTCAAAAGGCTCCCGTGGCTTAGCTCTGGCTTTCCCTCAATGCTGGCTCCCATGCCATCCCTGAACTCGTCTGCCCTGTGAGCAGTCACGCTGCGCCGTGCTGGAGATGTGTCTCGGTATGTGTGAAGTCACAGAATGCTTAAGGTTGGAAGGGACCTCCAGAGATCATCTAGTCCAACCCCCTGCACACGCAGGGTCACCCAGAGCACGTGGCACAGGCTGCGTCCAAGCCGGTTGGGAAGAGCTCCAGAGAAGGAGACTCCCCAGCCTCTCTGGGCAGCCTGTGCCAGGGCTCTGGCACCCTCACTGGTAAGAATTTTTTTCTCTAAGTTCCTGTGGAACTTTTGGTGCTTCAGTTTGTGGCCGTTTCCTCTAGTCCTGTCACTGCCCACCACTGAAAAGAGGCTGCCCCATCCTCCTCAGTGCCTCACTTGAGGTTGAGTGCAAACCCCTCCTTCTGCAGGGTTTGTGTTTGCTGGGTGAGTTCAAGGTGCTTAGACCATGCTCTCGTGGCCTTAAACTCTGTGTCTAGGAGGGGGTTGCTGTCTTCTTCAGTAGTCAAAATGAAAAGATCATTTTGGCTGTTCAGTCAGTGCAGAGCACAGCAATGGGCACAGGAAGAAAATGAGCAAAAAAAGTAACCGTTTAAAGAACTGACTATCTTGGTGTTGAAATGAGTGAAAGAAATGGATTAGAATTAATCTAACTGTAAGATATCGGAGTGTAATCTGTGCCAGAGATCAGATCTATAATCCTGCAGCACTTTTTGCTCATCAGAAATTTTACTGTAGCATATAAGTAAAAACATCCGAAGGCTTTTAAGGTTGGATTAATTACACAATATTTATATAAGTATTTTTTAAAAATGGTCACAGATTGTAAGTCACATAGCTGAGCTCCTGTGCGGGCCGCTGATGGGCTGTTTGGGTTCGCGAGTGTCGCGGCCAGCACGAGCTGGGCTCTGTCGGCGGCAGCGTTATCCCATGGGAGCCCTGCCGAGGCCGGGCCACCTCCCGGCGGCCTCCCCCGTGGACAGGCTCGGCGAGCAGGAGGCCGCGCGCGGAGGACGGGGCGCTGCTGCCGCTGGCGTTGGGCTGTCCTCCTCGAGCCACATCTGACTGGACAAAATGGGAGGATTTGTCGAGTGCGCCGCACGCTGCAGCGCGCTCGGGTTGCTTCCCGATGGGCTGTGCGCTCGGCAGGTTATCCCGGGCTCTCTGGGCTGCAGTTGATGTGCACTCCTAGCAACAGTCTCTCTGGATCATTGGATAGAAGAGCAAGGTTCAACATATTAGAAGTCCTTGTGGTTCATTCTTCTGTGCTTGCAGGTCCATATTGAATTTAGTTAATAGCTTTAAAAGCTTTGCTTTTCTGCTTGCAAAGTCTGTCTCCATCTATAAATTGTACAGGACTTTAAATACTAGATTAGAGATCGTGTGATAGATCAGTGTTGACGCAGATACTCTGCTAAGAACACGATGCAGCCCCTTGCTGGAGTGGATTGTGTGGCTCATTTCCAGAGGCAAGAAGGGCCGCACGGCACAAGCTTTTCCTGGTGATGTGACAGGACCTTCTCCTTCTCTTCTATGCCCTCACTACTGCCTTGGCTTGGTGCAGCTGAGCAGGCAGCTCCCTGCAGCTGGAGGAGCGCGGGGCTCGGCCGGGGCCTCAGCTGGAGCACTCGTGGCTCCCGGGAGCCTGGGAAGGGCCGGCGGGAGCCGGTGGCGCTGCCCGTGCCCTCGGCAGCAGCGGGTCAGTCGTGGGGCAGGAGGGCAGCGGGCGAGCGGGGCCGGTGCCCGTGGGCGCAGCGGGGCCCTCCTGCGGCACCGGGCGCCCGTGAGGTTTGCAGCCCCGGCAGCTCTGCCCGGAGCGGCTGCTCTCTCCAGCACTGGACACCCCGCACAGTGGTAACCAGGAGGGGAGTAACTGAGGTGGCAGAGTGGGCTGTGAGAGCCCTTGCAGCGCTCACTGTCCTGCTGCGCCAGCAAGGCTGAAGGGTGCAGGGGAGGACGCCCTTCCTTGAGAATGACCATGGCATGAAAAGGCTGATTGATTCCCCCAGCTGCTTTGATCTTTACACTAATAAGAGCTCGCTTGTGCCCGTTGTCTTTTGATCAGTGCTTTCGGGGGCTCTTCTTGTCACTGTTTCTTCTTCCTTCACTAGAACATCTAAAAACTTTGTAGTTAATAGTGAAACCCTATTGGTTTTTTTTTTTTTTTCCCCCCACAAAGGAGGTACAGCAGAGTCGCTAACTGTTCAAAAAGAGAGAATTCTGTTAAGGTCAATGAGAACAATCATAAAAGAAAAAAATGGTTTCTGCATTTTGTTTGTGGTTTTATTTTCTATTTTTTTTCTGCCTTCTAGAGCAGAAGG